TAGCTCTATTTGAAAATGTAAGTTTTCAATATGACTCAAGTTTACAATTCTCTAATCAAATATATAACTTTCCTTTTCCTATTTGCTCTTTGATTAAGCTATCTGTTATTAACTCTAGTGCCTCCTGTAGCCTCTCAGCACTTATTAATACAGCATAGCATGAAATTTTATACATTGTACATGCTTTGATATCTCCCTGGTATCTGCCATGCATTCTTTATCTATCTTTTTAAATCGGGCTCTCCATGTGACTAGAGCCAGTAAGTGCTCCTGGGAGACCAGAGAAGTACAAGGAGAAGGTCAGAGGTCCAAGTGTTAAGCCACCAGGGTATAAGATTTTGTCATTGTGTCCCCACCTCTCTATTCCAGGGATACGCCCTGATCTAGTCATAATAATTACAAACTTAATTACCAACTGGAGAATCTTTCAGTCTCAACGGGCTAGAAAGACAATGTAGGACTGAATTTAAATTCAGCAACTGCCAGAGTAACAATCAGAGTAAACTCTGCCATGAATCTCTCTTGCCTTCAGTGACTGAAAACACAGTAGCTCATCTGGTTTGATGAATCGAACTTGTTCCCTGAGTGTCTCCTGTGGACCTCCACGTTGCTACCTGGCTCTAACGACTAGTGTTTTTATATATTTCTTAATGTGGTAAAAACAATTAATATGAGATCTACCCTCTGATATTTTTAAGAGCACAATACTATATTTTTAATATTAATATAGTGTTATGTAAAGGCACAATGTTGTTTAGCACAGCTCTAGAACTTCATCATCTTGTATAACTGAAACTTTATACCCACTAATTAGCAACTTCTCATTTCCCCTTTTCCCAACCCTTGACAACCACCACGTTACTCTCTGTTTCTATGAGTTGGATTATTTTATATACTTCATATAAGTGGCATCATGCAGTAATTGTCCTCGTGTGACTGGCTTATTTCACTAGCATGATTTCCTCAAGGTTTACCCATGTTGTCATATATGGCAGGATTTCCTTTTTTCTTAATACTGCAGATCATTCTATTGTATGTATACACCACATTTTCTTTATCCATTGATCTGTAAATAGACAGTTAGACTATTTCCATATCTTGAAAATTGTTAATAATAGTGCAATAAACATAGGAGTGCAAATACATCTTCATAATTCTGATTTAAATTATTTTTGGATATATCCCCAGAAATAGGATTGCTAGATTATATGGTAGTTCCATTTTTCAGTTTTTCATACTGTTTTCCATAATGGTTGCACCATTTTACATTCCTGTCAACAGTGTACAAGGAGTCAAATTTCTCCACATCCACAGCAATATTTTCATTATCTTTTGTTTTATTTTTTTTTTCTATTGGAAACAGCTATCCTAACAGGTGTGGGTTTGATATGTATTTCCCTGATGATTAATAATGTTGAGCACCTTTGTACATACCTATTGGCCAATCGTATGTCTTCCTTGGAGAAATATCTATTTAAGTCCTTAGTGGATTTTAAAATTTTTTTGTAGTGTTTTTGCTGTTGACTGATTTGAAGAAGTTCCTTATACATTTTGGATTTTAACCCTTTATCAGATATATTCAATTATTTTATTCCATTTTATAATTGACATGTTTGCTTTTATTGATTTTTTTTAGTTGCTGTGCAGACGTTTTTTAGTCTGGTGAGGTCTCATTTATCTATTTTTGCTTTTGTTGCCTGTGTCATTGCCATGATCAGTGTTATAAAGCTTTGCCCCCATGTTTTCTTCTAAGAGTTTGACAATTTCAAGTCTTACATTTAAGCCTTTAATTCATTTTGAGTTGATTTTTGTGCCTGGTGTAAGATTGGAGCCCAATTTCATTCTTTTGTATGTGAATATGCAATTTTCCCAAAATCATGTATTGAAGAGACATTTCTTTTTAAATTTCATGATGGTCAGCCCTACTGATTGGCCATACTATTTCTACTGGGCCTTCTTGGTCACAGATTATCACATGGCTGGTGCTCTTGGTGAGATGACCCTGAAAATGGGGAACAAAACCAAAAAATAGTGGTGGACTAAGTGAAGATTGACTAAAAAACTTGAGGAGCAGAGTTGCATGATCGTTCTTATTGACATGGATTTCACTCTTTGCTTAAATACTTTGAAACCGAATAATCATAGAATAAAATCTTGCCTTCCAGAGACTCTTTTCTCATACAAAAATGAGGATGATAATACCTGCTTTTCAGAATCTTCTAAAGATTATAATTTAATGTAAATTGATCATGTCAATATATAAATTAACATATGGTAGATATTCAATAGATGTTGGTTCTATATCTTAAATAAAAGTAAAATGATACCCCTTCCCCATCCCAACTCTAGACAAAGGTTGCTCAGAGCATGTGAAATAGTGCATTCTCTATACGTGTGCTCCTGCCTTTAGTATTAAATTTGATTTGGATATAATGAAACTTTATGGAAAATTGAAGTAATCCAGACTTTGAAGATGAAAATGTAAAGGACTCTCACTTTCTCTGGATGTGATGATTCAACAACGGGGGAAAGGACAAATGTAGAATTGAAATCTCCTCTGGTAGATCATGAAAGCTAGATTATTCAAACTGAATTTACACTGGAATAAAGTTTAGCATGGATAGCCCAGTGCCTTATAGGAAGGTCTAAAACCAACCCACTATTTTCTTTTTGCTTATTTATTTTACTTTTGTAAGACAGCCTAAAAGAGCTATGGCTTTGAAAAGAATTTTTGCCTCCTTTTTTTCTTCAGTAAAAATAATACATGAAATAGGGTGCTTTGTATCCCATATGTTATTATAAAAGTCGGTCACATTTTCAAATCTTCTGTGACATTAATATAGTTTGTCAAGTGAGGTATCCTAATTTTTGTTTCATGAAATGCAAATAAACACCTTCATGTATCCTTCTATTTTATGATCTTAAATGTAGTATTCAAACTAATCAAATTTTAAAAAGCAAATCTATGAGGTCAGGAATAAAATCCTCTCCTCATATCGGGTAAAACTCTACAGCAAAAATCAGGATAGTCTGTTGATTTAAAGGCTGTTAAAAATTTGCAGTTGAGTTTTGATGAAGTTGGTGAGTTGTATTTCCTAGGGATAGGTTGAAAAAAGAACATACCCATGCCCTTAGTTTTGAAGCTCTGCAAAGGTCAGAAGAATGGGCAATCCAGAATTCACTTAACGCTTTGTTTTGATATCAAGAAAATTACTAAATAAAAAATCTAATCAAAAAAGAAAAAAGCCAACCACTAATAAAATAGACATAACATTTTCTAAGTTAATAATATCAAGAATCATATATGTAAAATTTCTCACTAAATTTTCACGTCAAAATACCTAGCTTTCATTTTTGTGAAGTCTTATTGAGTAACTCTGAGAGTCATAGCCCCCAAAACTGCTGAATGTCACCAGCAAATCCTAGTTCGAAAGTTAGCAGCTCCTAGACTAGAAACAATGTCTTCTAGATCTGTCTGATGATATGGTAAGATACTATGTTGATTGTTATGTAACTGGAAAAACAAGGATAATCTAGGTCAAGCAAAGAAGGACTTTTTTTTGTGGTCTATTGGCCACAATAAACTTTCTAGTCCATAACCTATTGATAATACGCACTAAAAGACAGTTCCATGTGAATTGTCTGTCTTTCCCTCCCTCTCTCTTTTTCTCTCGATACCATTATATCTCACCAAGGATTCTCAAACCTTTAAGAAAATGAGCACTTCCATAAAGAAACTGTAGAAGTACATAATATAAGTTGTCTTCATTTAAACACTATCTAATAAAATGCTCTTTCAAACAGAGTATTTAAATATATTATTTTTTGGTATTAAGGAACTAGAATTTATAAACTTTACCAATAATCATTATTTATGATAACTATTTAAAAACATTAAGCTAAAATAAATCATACTAGCAACAATACAATATAGCACAAAAACACCAGCAACAAGAAACTGTAAAGTTCCTGTTCCACAAAAAAGAGGAACAAACTAACAAAACACAAAGTAAATTGGAAGCAAAAAATACACAAACCATAAACCTATTTGAGTTCCCCATTAAGATGGATCTAAAAAATCTATCAATTAGCATTGTAAATAAGCAAAATTCACAGAAAGTAAAACATTTAAACTTAGAAGAATAAAGAGAGACTAAATTTTAAACTCTATATTAAATGCTCTGGTTGAGTAAGCTAGGGAAAATGGTGCCCATACCCAGATAAATGAAGGTATACCCCATGATGACTTTGCTGGGGATTGTAACAAATAAGTTAGCTTCTTCTATGGGAAAAGGATATTTTATGTTGTTTGATACTACAAAGTTTTATGTTTCAAAAACCAATTACAGAGATGCTAATACTTTGAAATTTGTGATAATTGGGTAGAGGATGACAAAATGCTTGATTTGTAGTATTTGTGAATAAAGCAAATAAAAAGAATAAATAATACGTAAGCTTTATTTTTAAGTACGGAGAAAATAATATTTCATACTATTGCATATAATATCATTCACTAAGTTAATTGCAAGCCATTCTTAGTTATTTGTTAAGTTCAGAATAACCAGTACTTGTCTACACCATGTTAGCCTTTGAAAGCAATAAAATTACATTTCTATCTACAATTCTGAATTTTTGCTAATTTAAACTTTTTCCCTCATCAGTTCAGTTTAATTTTATATATAGGACTTAGTAAATGTTAGTACAAATTTATGTGAAAAGTTGGGAGAGTCTTCTGGATAATCGAGAAGTTTTAGCTTAAACAGTAATTATACTTGGTTAAAAATTACATAAATACTTTACAGCCCTTCTAACAATAGGCATTCACAGGCTTAAGGATTTTTTTTTTACAGTTTTTATTTTACATTTATTATTTTTCTTCTTTAAGCTTAAGGATATTTGAATGTGAGGCCAACATGAGTGAATGTGTCAGAATGTGTAAGAGGTAGCAATCTTGAGATTTGAGAACTAGCAATAGACAGAAGCTTTTTAACCTGCAGGTGATGGAGAGCAGTGGACCAAAAGTTTTGGAAACAGCTGAAGAGATCCAGGAGAGGCGTCAAGAGGTGTTGACTCGGTACCGGAGGTTCAAGGAGCTGGTTGCTGAGAGGGGTCAGAAGCTTGAGGAGTCCTATCACTACCAGGTTTTCAGGCGAGATGCAGATGACCTGGAAAAGTGGATCTTGGAGAAACTCAAGATTGCAGAAGATAAGAGCTATGAAGACCCAACTAATATACAGGTCACTATGTTCCATTGACTTCCACAGAGCAGACCTTAAGATCTCTAAGGAGGAAAACAGGGTTTTCTTGATGTTAATGTTAAAGGGTGGGTGTGGGTACAATTGGATTCCATTTTGAAACAAAATAAAATGAAAATAAGCCAGTGGAATTTAAAGAATTTAAGAATTGAATTAAGAGAAAAATCTAAAGGTGTATTTCCCTTTGTAAAGTTGGAGGTGTGAGACAGAGAAAAGAAAAAAAATCAAACAAAAAGTGTTAGTTTGTTATTCACTGAAAGCACAGAACTGTTTCTTACAACGAACTTACATTCAGATCGTACATTCTCGTAATGTAAGTGTTTATCTTGTTAACTGTAGGGAGGTAAATGTAATAGATAGATTAGACTATCTGTTAGGGACAGTAATTCTGCCTCTAAATAGCCACGTCTTCAACATCTTCAACTTCGGGTCTTATTTGCAAAGGAAATTCATTCTAGATAGCATTTAACGGATATAATATCCATCTGAAATTAAGCTATGGGGAAAACAATAACTGAAAGTTCAAGGAATTTCTGCAAACCATGTGATTTTAATGTTCCACCACATTCAGAATGGAATTAGGGTCAAAAGTCACCAGTGCTTTCTGAAGCACCAATGTTCTCCACTCTTCTCAGAAGGACATGAGTTCACCACGGTTTTTTCTAGGGTTTCCCCAAATTGCTATTCATGGCTCTTCTTAAGTACAAATGAGAGGACCCAGTAGAAGAAGTTTCATGAAAGCTACTTGCCTTTCTGTTCACCTAGAATTATCGCACGTGGCATAGTCGTGATCAAGGGAAAGGGTTACATATGCCTGAAAGTGGCCATTGATGTTGGACAGGAAGCACCAAGAATACGAGCAAAGTATTGTACTATATTAAATAGATGAATTAGTACATAACAAGAACAGAGCCCAGGATGCAAAAAAAGCCTCTCAATTAAAAAAAAAAAACACAAACATATTATAACCATCATCCTTCTCATTGTGCTCTACTTTCAGTAGAACTCAGCCATTCCTCTTTTCTGAAGAGGAAAAACCCTACACTCTTTCATTCATATAGGAGTCTATTGAGCCTTTAAAATAATAGGGTATTTACTGAAAATTCCCTAAGACAAAAGTGGGGACAGGAAAAGGCTTTCTCTGTGGCCTCTGACTTTGAGCCTGGGACCCTTTGAGAACCTGTGTTCAGCGGCTATACCTAGAGAGAACCTTTCCCACCAAGACTGGGCCTCCTTAGCCATAAACTCTGATTTCTGAACTGCAGGGGAAATATCAGAAGCACCAATCCTTTGCAGCAGAGGTGCAAGCAAAATCAAAAGTCATTCCTGACCTGGAAGAAATCAGGGAAGTCCGATTTGCTGAGGGTCATTTTGCCCACGAGGACACCAAGGTAAAAGTATGGTAGGGCTCCTTCTAATTGCTGATTATGTTGTCAGGGTTTTAGTTGGCTTGCCAGATATAAACATTCATGTGGATGGGTTGGAGTCAGGGCTCCTGCCTGACTATCGTCCACGGGGGTTGAGGCAGAAAAAGCAATAGGATATCTTTGTGTTCCTTGGAGTGAAGAAAAGAACAAAAGCTACCATTAAATGGCATAACATTCCTCCTCATGCCACTGCAGAAGAAACTGGCTCAAGATCGAGCCCCCTTCAGCCTGTTCCACATCTCCCAGATGAATTGGCTTTTTCAAATGTTATTTCTAATTATTTCTTCTGACCTCAGTGTCTTTGTCCATTAAATTCTTCAAACAAGGAATGCTCTTATTTGAATCTTCTCCAAAATCTTTCTCCCTTTGTCTTTATGCCTCTTTCTTTTCACACCTCACACCCTACACTACTATTGTACCTCTCCAAAGTCCCCCCTCCCATTACTTAAAAAAAATCCTAAAATTTCATGTATTTAGAAAATCTTCCCTGAATACCTAGAACTGAAGATCAACACCATTTTAATAAGCATTTACCACTCTGTAACCCATTATTAATGTAGCAGGTATTTTCTGACTTAATCCACGTACTCTTCCCAATGTTTGTGCTAATATGGTCAATTCAGAATCTTTTTGTGTGAGTGAACTTTTTATTGCTTATGCATTTTTTAAATTGTCAAAGCAAATCTGCGTTACCTGTTTTAAAGCCGGGGCTCGTCTTTCTATGTGTAACATAAAAATCCTAGCCCATTTTACTATCAACAAAACACAGTCAGGGAACACAGACTTTAAACCAGAATGGAGTCTTATTATAAAGAGGAAGTTATTAAAATAAAATCTCAAAACTTACTTATTTCCATAAAATGGAAATAATTTTTACAGTTTTGTGTGTGACCAACCCCAACATTAATTAAAATACTTGAGAGATGTTGAAAACATTGTCACATCTGTCATAATCATCACCAAGGCTGTATCAGACAGTACCCCACTGCAGGGTTAGGGAAGAAATGTGGTTCACATGCTACTCTAAGCAATGGAGTAGTTGAAATAGATAAGATTAGATAAGATTCCTAAAGATATTACATAGATGTTACCTTCAATTTCACAATATAGGTAACACATAATATTCTGAGCTAACCTGGTATTCAAAGTCCTCTATATACTCTTAAACTATATAGTTCCAAAATACTCTTACTGTTTTGATGCCAATGATTTATTTATAACTTAGCAAAGTTGTAGCTCTTATACTTTCTGGCAGACAGTAGACAGTTCATGCTAAATTTCTTTTATGCTTTTGCCATTGCTGTTTGCTGTGCTTAGAACATGCTATGCCTATCATTTATCTGTCAAAAATCCTGGATTAAGCTTAAGCCCATTATCCAAAGCGAGGCAACACAAGACATGGAAAATGGGCCCCACATCTACTTGCCATCAAATTGGTACTGACTGATTAAAACTATGGTTTTCAAATGGTGGCAATGCTCACCAGGGATTCGGTGGGGGGGCGGGGACCCAATCTTAGGGATGTGGTGAGCACTTTGGAGGGGAAGGGCATAACTCTAACCCTTCTTAGGGAGAGCAAAGATATACAATGTAACCAAAATGTCAAAAAAAAAAACAAAAAACTTTTTATCGGGGGGTGGGCAGGCGGTAGGGGGGAGGAGGAAAGGGGTGTATGCTTCCATAACGTGTGTGGTGCACACCACTGGGGGATTGGACACATCGGGGGGACGGGGGGCAGGGGCAATATTTGTAACCCTAACAATATTTGTACCTCCATAAGATGATGAAATTAAAGGGAAAAAAAAAGAAAAGAAAATCTCTGTTCCTTTAGACTCAGTTCAAATGAGCACTTTTTATGCATCCTTCTTCCCTGTAGTATTGTTTATAATCATTCCATCTTCTAAAACCGCAAGGCAATTTCCCAACATTTTCTCTTATGGAAGCTCATATTTGGCTTGGTTTAATAGCTATTTCCTTATGTACCTCATTTCCTCCTTTAAATATTTGTTGAGCAATGAATGCATGCATGAATGAGAGTGGAACTTGTATCCAAGTCCCTTTCTGCACGTCTCTGGGTCTGTCCCTGCTCCACAGCCTCTGTGTCTGAGGATTCTGCCTCTCTTCCCCAAAGGCCCATCTGGAGGAACTGCGCCGCCTGTGGGACCTGCTGCTGGAGGTGACCCAGGAGAAGGGCTTCCTGCTTCTGCGGGCCTTGAAGCTCCAGCAGTACTTGCAGGAGTGTGCTGACATCTTAGAGTGGATCGGAGACAAGGTATAGGACTCAACAGCAAACATACAGGACCTTTCATTACTCTGTGCTGGGTACTCCATAGGCACTTACTGCAGACTATGCACAAAAGAGTCAGGGTGTCTGTTCCTGGACTTTGCTCCTTGGAAGACAGAAGAATTTTGGCAACAATTTAGGAGTATTCCAGAGGCGAACATCGTAGGGGATAAGTCTAAATGTATGGCCATGAATATGGAGAAGGCAAGACTTACACGAAGACCATGCATTGGAAGATGATCTAGGCTCACCCTGCTTCCACCTTCTTGATCTTTAACTCCTTCTCCTATGTTTTTGCTCTTACTTTGGGGCCTGGCTGAGAGTATTGCCAGAACTTTTTCCAATCTCTTATATCTCAGTGCCTATAATGTGGGCTTTGTTTTTAATTTTTCAAAATACTTAAAGAATACTCTGAGAGTTAGGACTGGAGATTAACACAAGCAAGTGCCTAGTGCAATGATTTTGTAGATATTCTGTATATTGCATTGAGTAGAGAGGAGATGAATTTATTCCTCATGATCCAAAACACATTAGGGTGCTTCCAAGGGCTTTGGCCAACAATGACCCCAATCTTGCTAAGTGATTGCCTCAAAGAGCACTGTTCCCTGGGCCAAGGTGCTATCTCAGGAAATACACTCCTACTTCTGGCTCTTCCCTGGAGGGGTTCTTCCCAGCATCCTCGTGTGTTTCCGCCTGACCTGACCTGGGAATGCAAGCAGGAGTTTGGCTCTTTTGACCTGCGGGAAGGCCTAAGTAATTGCTGGTGACTGAATGAACTTTCTGTATCTATAGGAGGCTATAGTAACGTCCGTGGAGCTTGGTGAGGACTGGGAGCGTGCAGAAGTTCTGCATAAGAAGTTTGAAGAGTTCCAAGTGGACCTGGCAGCTCGAGAGGGGAGAGTGGATGGAGTGAACCAATATGCCAATGAGTGTGCCGAGGTGAGGTGGGAGCAAAAGAGTCATTCCAGCAAAAGGGTTCTGATCCATAGTGAGAACTTCTGGCTATTGGTAGGTGGGATATGAGGGAGATGGGACATTGTGAAAAAACATGGAATAACATGCTCTGGGCAGTTTCCTCTCACCTCTGGATCCACCACTTGTCAGTCTATGGAAATGGAGTCTCCGTGTGTGTGTCTGTGTGTGTAGTGGAATCAAATCTATAATGTACAAGAAGAAAACTTTTGTACCAGGCAGTACTAGTGTTTATGGGAAACTTTCCTTAATAAAGCAACAAGTATAAACTAACAGAGAATATAAAATAATGTTGGGCTATCATAATATATTTATACAATATCATTATACATGATTATTTTGGGGGGATGAGGAAGGGAAAAGAGGTAGACTTACTTTTATTTACTTTAGAAAATACTTAAATAAGTTTGCAACCTCTGAGCAGACACAGAGTCTCAGTGTTGGAATAATGACCCTAGTACATGTAGTTTTCTGAGATACATATATACACACACATGTCTATACACATATATGAAATATGTCTATAAAATAAATAAACTCCAACAGTTGGCTATATTGTGCTTTTCCATTTATGGTTTCATTATTATTGTAGGTCTATAGTCAGAATGATCTTCCTATGTTAATAGAACCAAGATTTCAGGATGAATAAGTGCTGGAGTAAGAAAAAGAACCTACATTTTCCAATTTTTTAAGGCCATATTTCCTATAGTCCTTACATTTTATCCTACCACCACTTTTCTTTTATTGCAGAGGTATTTCATTTTCCCATTGCTTTCTAACAAATCACCATGAAACTTAAAACAACAAACATCTTACTTGTTCCTAATTCGGTGAGTCAGATGTTTGAGCTGCTCAGCTGGGCTGTTCTCCTGGTCTCCCCTGGTGTCTCAGGTGGCTGAAGTTATTGGGTGGCTCAGCATGAGTTAAGGATCTCAGGGGGCCTGAATCCCACACCTGGGGCCCTGACGAGGATGATGAGGATTCTCTGTGTAGTCTCTCATTGTTCAGTAGACCACGCTTCTTTACGTGCCAGCGTTCCCCGAGGCCAAGAACAGAAGCCGAAAGGCTTCTTGAGGCCCAGGTGCTGGAGTCCATAGAAAGTTACTTCTGCCATATTCTGTTGGTAAACAAGTCAAAGGCCATTTCAAATCCAAGAATTGAGGAGACAGACTCCACTTTTTGAAGGGAGAAGTGGCAAAATGGCACACCCTTTTTCCCCCAATCTAGTTCAGAAAGGATGAATCTAACACATTTACAGTATATCCACTGCTTTTCTGAAGTGGGGCCTACACTGCCGTAATAGAAAGGACCATACACTCAAAAAAGAGAGTGTAGAAAATTCTTTCTGGAGAGGCTAGGGAGTGGAAATGGAAGTGGGAAGAACAGGGGACAGGAGGAGTAAACAGATGGGCATATGAGAATTCTTAAAAATTGCAAAGTATCAAAACAAGCTGATACCACTAGCTTAATCTAGTATTCACAGATCTCTTTGCCTCAGAAGGTTTCCAAAAATGCCTAAAATTTTCTGCAAAATCATATGTGTAAGCGTGTGGCTATAATTCTGGGAAGAGAGAAATGGCTTTCTTTGGATTTTCAAAGGTGTTAGGACCATAACAGAGTGAAGAATCACAGTACTAGAGTTTGGGAAAATTAACTCATATTTCACAAAGGGAATTTTTTTCTTCTTTTCTGAGGCTTCCAGCATTTCCAGGGGATTTGGCAAACATCAGCAAGGTAGAGCTCCGAAAATAACATCAGGGCTGGGCAGCCTGTGTTAGTAGGCTAGTTCAGTGCTGTAGGCACAGGATACAACAGCTGGCTGGTTGGTTTTCTAGGTGTTGGAAATGTGCATCAGGTTAGATCTAGGAGCAGGGATATAGTGTCTGGCTACAAAGGTAAATCTCCACTTCTGACAAAGTATGAACCAATGTAAAATGAGTTGTGTTTAAATGATTTTTCATGTGACCTCATCTTTGCATAACTCCAGTGTTGGTTTCCTTCTGCAGGAGAACCATCCTGAGCTGCCCGTGATTCAGTTTAAGCAAAACGAGGTGAACGCTGCCTGGGAACGTCTCCACGGCCTGGCTCTCCAGAGACGGAAAACCCTGTCTGACGCTGCAGACCTCCAGCGATTCAAACGGTAGGGATCTGGCCACCGCTTTACAGAAACCTTTAAAATAGCAGGATGTTTGTTATTTGTATTAGCTTCCTTCTGCTCTTGTTAGCCATTAGTGGTCAATACTTCAAACCAAAGTGGATCATGTGCTTGCCTTTGAGACATCAAGGGAGGAGGTAGTTAAGTCAATGTTGTGAAGATCAGAGCCCAAAGAAATAATAATAATAAAAAAAAACAAAACAGCACTGGTGATTTAGTGATGGAAACTCTGCAGAAGCAAGGAAAGCAGATTGAGAATTAGATGGTGGTGGAAGGTGGAGTTGGGAAGAAGGAAAGCATTCATAAAGAGCTTACCGAGATATGTGAAGTATCTTTGGAAGCTCAACTGTCAGGAGGTCCAGGTCCTTAATATCTCAACGGAAACAACTATTAAGCGAGAATATCTTACGTTACTTTTTATTGGTATGTGGGAAGGCAAGGTCATTGCTCTTGGGTGACCCCAGGTGGTCCTTGCTGTGTGCTCTGTTGCACTGCTTGCTGTGCAATGCCTGCCATCTTCTTTGGTTGTAACTCCTGCCAATCTCTGACAGGGATGTGACTGAAGCCATCCAATGGATCAAGGAGAAGGAAACTCTGCTCAGCTCTGAGGACTATGGCCAAGACCTTGTTAGCTCTGAGGCACTGTTTCACAGTCACAAGGGACTTGAGAGAAACCTTGCAGTCATGAATGACAAGGTAAGCCACTGTCAGAGGAATGGCTGGCCCCTTGAGCTGGAAGAGGCATTTATTTGGTGGTCATCTTGCCCAGCACCATCCCTCCAGAGGGTGCAATAAATTCACCCTTTTCAATGAACGAGAAATTCAGTGGCACTTGAATATGCTTCCTTATTTTAATTCATATCTTATACATCAATACTGGATACTCCTTATTTTTATTTAAAATTATTTGTATTTAAATATACATACATGACTTACATCGTACAGTGTTTTTCTAATATACTTCACAATTTAAAAACAAAAAGTTCATACCTCCAAGGATGGCTTCCAAATCTCACACGGTGAAATACCCCGTGGCCAGACAGTCTTTCCTTTCATCTAACCACACTTTCTTTTGTTGCAGCTGAATCCTGTTTCTTTTTGTTCTTACTCAGTAGATCAGAAAAGTATTTTCTTCTTTTCCTCTTGTAATAAATTCTGAGACCTGCTAAACCCACCTCTAAATTCCCTTTTAAAACCTGGGAAATCCCAGTTCGTATGTCTAGCGTAGTGGGCACAGGCACACTAGCACTTAGAACAAGGCTACTTTCTTGAATGATTCCCGTTTTTTACTTCTTCCCCTCACAACTTTAGCTATGACATAGACCGATTACTACTGAGTGTCCACAGGACAGTCAGCCCACAGAAAGACCCACACTCACTGTGCTTTACGTATAGCCTTGCCCCTGTGTACAGTTTTTACACACTCCCCCCACCTTTCTACTTCTTTTATTCTTCCTTGTTTTTGTTTTTGTTTTTGGTCTTTTATCCTAATACTGAATAATAAAATCCCATGACCTGACGAATAATGGTAATGAAATCTCACACCCTAGACAAGATCTGATTGCAGTCGAGTATGAGGAAAGGGGTAATAACATGTGCAAAGTCACCCATATCCACGTTTTGCCCTACTAACCCCATTACTCAGGAATTGTGTTAAAAATGGTCTGGCATTACTGGAATTTTCTTGGCCTCCCTGGAGTCAATGTCTTTCTAACTCCCACAGTAATAGTTAGGGAAATGGTATAATAGTCGTGAAGGAGCAGCTTAGGTGAAAACCTTGCTCTGACACTTACTAGTTGGATACCTTTGACCCAATACATACTTTACCTCTTAGTTTTCACATAAAAGGGGAATAAGAATAATTTCTACCTCATAGTATTATTAAAGGAAGAATATAAAATGAGAAAATGTGTGTAAAGTGCTTAGCACGATGAGAGATAAAACGTACTCAGTAAATCATAATTATTAATATAGTGTGTTGGTGTCATAATGTATCAGTATAAATATACTTACCAATTATCATTACTCATATGATTGTTTTTACTATACATTTTTTTGCAAATCTTTGCCAAGAGAAGTAAGAGTCCTCGGATTTCTTACTAGGTTTCTTTTTCGTCCCAAAGGTGAAGGAGTTATGTGCCAAAGCAGACAAGCTTACGCTTTCCCATCCTTCAGATGCACCTCAGATCCAGCAGATGAAAGAAGATCTGGTCTCCAACTGGGAGCACATTCGCGCCCTGGCTACCAGCAGATACGCAAAACTGCAGGCTTCTTATTGGTGGGAAATTCCTCCTCTCTGTGGCTCTGCCTAGCTCTACTGGGCACAGATATAATATCAAAAGCAGAACTAAGTGTGAAAGGTGTAAAACAGCCAGGGAATCAGCTCCACCGCCTGCTCAGTAGCGGCAACAGATTCAATGTACCAAAGGAAGTTTTCTGTGGACTGATATAATATAGTAGTCCCTACCTGTCCATGGTTTCAGTTACCCAAGGTCAACTGCAGTCTGAAAATACTAAATGGAAAATTCCAGAAATAAACAATTCACAAGTTTTAAATTGTGCACCATTATAAGTAGCATGGTGAAATCACTTGCTTTTCTGTTGCCTCCCACCCGGGACAGACACGAATCATTCCTTTGTCTAGCCCATTAGTCAGTCACTTAGTAGCTATCTAAGTTACCAGATCCACTGTTGCAATATAGAAGTTCTTGTGCTCAAGTAATCCTTACTTTACTTAACTGTCCTATTTATTAACGGTTATTGTTGTTAATCTCTTACTGTGTCTAATTTATATGTGAAACATTATCATACATATGTAGGTATAGTATATAAAAGATAGAGTTCAGTACTAACCTGAGTGTCAGGCTTGCACTGGGGGACTTGGAACGCTTTCCCCACGGATAAAGGGGTGCTACTGTACTCAGCATCACATCTCCACTCACCCCCATCCCACTGTCTTCCCATTTGTAAAGTCGTGGGATGCTATGGAAGCATTCCTAAAACTGGAAAAGCAGTTGAAGAAACATTTCAAAATCCTGCTTCCAGCTACGGAGCTGAACTAAATTTTCAAGCTGAAGAGCATCGAAATAACTCCAGTATTGTTTCCTGAATGTAGGTTAAAAGCTTACAAAAAACCCTGATAATCAGGCATCATTTCCGTAATGAATTCCTATGATTAGTCTTTAACCAGAAGATAGTGTTTATCTTATTGTCATGATTTAAAACCAAATGATGAGCATTTAATTTTTTTGAATAGGTAACTGTTTTTGCATTTGTTATTAATAGGGTTAAAAGAGAGCTAAGACACATGAGGAATCCTAACACTAATTCTAGTTCCCTCTTACCATAGGGTGCTTCCTGTTATTCATATGGCATGTATTTATTTATTGCTGCAGTATGATTACTTTATTCCATTTCAAATACCTATGGGGTAGGTGGGACCTTGTAGTGATGGAGACGTAATTCCCATATATCACATCACACAATGGCACACCTACCCCAGAAATATACAACCTGGAATGAAGGACTTACAACCTGCACCACTGAAGGAACTAGACCTGCAGTCCCCAACCCCAGGGCTGCCCACCAGCACAATAGCCACGGCCTATTAAGAACTGTGCTGCACAGCAGGAGGTGAGCAAAGCGGTCATCTGTATTTACAGCTGCTCCCCTTCACTCACATCCTGCCTGAGCTCCGCCTCCTGCCAGCTCAGCAGCGGCATTAGATTCTCATAGGAGCAGGAACCCTAACTGTAAACTGCGCATGCGAGGGATATAGGTTACATGCTCCTTATGAGAATCTAATGCCTGATGATCTGAGGTGGAGCTGAGGCGGTGATGCCAGTGCTGGGGAGCGGCTGCAAATACAGATTATCTTTAGCAGAGAGGTTCAACTGCACAGAGACTATAATAAATCAATTGCTTACAGACTCATATCAAAACCCTATCAGTGAGTGGCAAGTGATTATGTAATAATAATAGAAATAAAGTACACAATAAATGTATTTGCACTTGAATCATCTTGAAACCATTACTCCCCTGCCAGTCCGTGGAAAAATTGTCTTCCATGAAACCAATCCCAAAAAGGTTGGGGACAGCTTAACTAGACTTTAAGTAACAGGAAGTACATCAGGGAAGGAGAGGGCTACCATTAGAATGAGGAAGGACTCACACATCTTAGCTCAACCTAACCCTAACTCTTTGTTCAGAGTCCTTTCACATCAAGTTTCGCCCTCCTGTCCTTGACCTCACCTTTCCCACAGGTACCAGCGGTTCTTGTCCGACTACGATGAGCTCTCAGGCTGGATGAAGGAGAAGACCGCTCTGATCAATGCTGATGAGCTGCCCACCGATGTGGCCGGTGGGGAAGTCCTGCTGGACAGGCATCAGCAGCATAAGGTAGAAAGCAAAAGACTCCCCAGCAGGAGGAGGGGGCAGGTGATTCAGTTCAATACCAGGAATGCCAGGAGGCTTCTTGCTGCCTTTTGAGACCTTGTGTCTTGTGGCCACAGCATGAGATTGACTCCTACGATGACCGATTTCAATCTGCTGATGAGACTGGTCGAGCCCTCCTGGATGCCAATCATGAAGCCTCCGATGAAGTTCAGGAGAAGGTAATGTAGTTTAATAGAGCGTGTGAAATTTTGATGGCATATTTAGCCTTAATCTCATAATAATATGATAATCTCTGAATGGGAGGAGGATAGAAGTCATCTAAGCATGTTAACAATAGGGACCCAACTTTTATGGTGCCCCCTTTCACATACAGTCATCCATCATTATCCATGGGGCATTGGTTCGAAGACCTCCCTGGGTTGCCAAAATCCATGGATGCTAAAGTCCCTGATATAAAATAGTGTGATGTTTGCATACAACCTCTGTACATCCTCCCATGTGCTTTGAATCATCTCTGGATTTATAATACCTAATACAATGTAAATGCTGTGTAAATAATTGTTACACTACATTGTTTAGGGAATAATTACAAGAAAAGAAAAGTCTGTACATGTTCATACAAATGCATTTTTTTTCCAAATATTTTCCCTCCGTAGTCGGTTGAATCCACGGATGTGGAACCCACAGATATGGAGGGCCAGCTGTGCTGTTGTAGTTAAATTGAATCACTTGAAAGTCTCAGGACACTGTGTCTGCTTCCTCACATCTGAGCTTTTATGTCACAAACACTCTGGCTTCTACCTAATAGGAAACTTCCATACCATTTTCCCTTTTGACATATGCTCTGTTTTGTCACCTTTCCACGCTCATCTCCAGACTGTAAATTCTATGAGGACTGCACCTATTTTGTCTGTGGATTCCCTAGTGCTTAGCACGGTGCCGGAAACATGGCTGGCACCTGTACCTTTTCTTCTTTCCTCTGTACAACCTCAAATGAAGCTGATTTTTCTATATCTGTGTTTTTAAAATTTACATTAAATAACAGGAAAACTTTAAACACTTAACAACTCCACTGGATGAAGACAACAGGTTTGCCATCATTCTAACCTCCTGGATCTCAGGGCCTCACTGCAGCGCCCTGACCCAGGGAGATTTTGCTCCAGTTGCAAAGTCTAGGAACTCCTGGGGATGATGGTAGCAATAAGATCTGAAGGCCTCTTTGCTTCTCACTAGTTACCAGCCACAGCCTCCAGCACTATGCAATGAGTGAGGTTGAGATAACTATGTTTTGAATTCTCCCAGTACTCTGTGGGGATATTGTAATATAGATTATTATTATTATTATTATTAACAAGTCTCTGCCAGAGCAATAGCAGAACCCTAAGTCCTTGAAAACTCACCTATTATCGTGGGATTCTCAGATTCTGTGCTGTTCCTTTGATGGAGTTAACACAGAATCAACTAAAGTAAGTTGGAATTTCTTGGGCAGATGCTTGACCAGAAACAAAAGCTTTTTTTTATGGGTTTAAGAATCTCTCTTTTTTCTTCCCTTGGTCATTCTCATTTTTTTTTTTTTCAGAATAAAATGCAAACCTTTCAGTCTGACATTTTAAGTGCTCTATGAATTTCATCAAATGTGCACTTCTTTTGAGACACTGTACTTTTCTCTAGAGCACATGGTACAATCTAACAATTACCTTGAGTTCCTATAACAACATTTTTTCATGGCATCATGTCCTCCTACAATCCTGCTACCTGCTCCCAGCCCTTGGTACCTGCTCTCTGGTACAGTACTTCCTATGCTTTTCCATACATACTTCTACTCCCTGGTTCTTCCTGCCAGAATTAGTCCTTTCTTGGTTCTTTATAAATATTAAGTGTATTGTACTTCTTTCATGACCTTTTTTCCCATTTTTCTTATGCTAAAATCATTTGCTTAGATGTTGATACCTTAAGAGAAAACCCTATTTCCTATTTATTTTTGTATCCTTCAAATAGCTTTGCATTTATTGGATGCTCAATAAACATAGAATAACATAATAGGTAACATAAACATAGAATAACATAAATGATCTTCCTGATGTACTGCCTTCTCCTTTCCAAAGATGGGAATACTTGCCAACAACTGGGCTGCCCTGCTGGAACTGTGGGACAAGCGTCAGCATCAGTACGAGCAGTGCTTGGACTTGCACCTCTTCTACAGAGACAGCGAGCAAGTGGACAGTTGGATGAGTAGACAAGAGGTAGTGGGAAGGGTCCAACCAACCTCTAGAAATCATTTCTTCCCCCCCTCACTTACCAGCGTGACTACTATGAGCACCCTCATAACCACTTCTGTGGGCCAAAACTTGTCCTTGGAACTAGAGAATTATCCAAAGAAGAAAAGATAGGCCCTTTCTATAATGCTACCACCACAAATTCCCTTATGAACAAATGCATATGAAAATACCTAAATACATAGCAGAGAGGATTTAACCATAACTGAACATAAGGCAAAATGAACATCAAATTTATAAGGGCTGAAGAAGAGAAAAATGTGACTAGATTGGGGAATTCCATGTGGATAGACCCAGAAATATAGGTAAGAAAATTGCATAAGAGCATCAGGAAGGAGGCTTGAAGCTCCTACTGTTTGAGGTTAGTCTGTATCTACCATCCTAATTTGTGCTAATTCCTGCCCTTGTTCTCTAACCATCTCCTCTTCTTCCTTCCTTAGTCCTTGTGTCAGAGACATTCCAAGAGGAATGTTTCTCACTAACGGAGCATAGCTGGGGTGTGTCTTTCTGTCTTCCACAGGCCTTCCTGGAAAACGAGGATCTGGGAAACTCACTCGGCAGCGTAGAAGCCCTTCTTCAGAAGCATGATGACTTTGAGGAAGCCTTTACTGCCCAAGAAGAGAAGATTACAGTAAGAAATGGGCTGTAATTTGGGCATTGTCTTCCTGTTTGTATATAACATCTCATATAATACCTGTCCTTAGACAGAATCACTCCTTTGTACAGAAAAAAGAAGGAAGGAAAAATAAAAGAATCACTCCTATGACTACCAGAAATAGCATGAGGATTATTCTTAAGTTCTATGCTTGTTCTATAGTTAGTAGTATTTATTTGTGTGTTTTTAAACTCTTTCATTTAATTTTATAAATATAAAATGTTGATATAGCATTAAAGCCAAACTTCATACTTATCTTTAAAAGAAAAAAAGTTAAAGTGTCCAGAAAAAGAATCACACTCATTTTTATCAACATACTTCTTAGTCTACAAAGCATATTTGGAAAGGTTTTCAAGTTAGTACATCATTTTTTTTTTCTTTCTGATGAAGTGCATGATTGTTGTTTTATTGCTTTGTTCCTCTCTAGTAATATCTTAATACAGTTTTATCTAGTAATATCTAGATATCTAAGTAATATCTACTCTTTTCCTTCATAGCATATTTTTCCTTAACAGTGTATCTTCATCTTTGTGTTTCTCATCTAAGCTACTATAGAGTTTTCCTGTGAACCTTACAGTGTCCAGAAGACTTATCAATATATAAGCAGGATTCAAAGGAGTATAAGGAAGACTTCATGGGTCCAATATATTATATGTCTGTGGCTGTCTTCTAGGGTGGTGCTGACTTTAACTCCCCCTTCCCACATGCACAAACATACCACCACCACTCGCAGCAACAGCAATCAAATTCCAAGTCTTCTTTGTTAATCTCCAATCAATTTGGAACTTAATGTGGTCCATTAGTAATCCATATGCATGTTCTTTCTGTTGATTCTCATTGGAGAAAAGCTAACACTGTAAAATAATTTATTGTGTATAAAGTGCTATCATTTATTTTAGATCATTTTCCCATTCTGATTAATTCTAAGCTGTAGCAATTTGGGAGATTATGGATAAATATAGGTAAAAATTTGCCTCTACAATTTCTGACTCCTCTCCCCATGTAGCTGGAATTATAAATGTAGATATAGATACAGATACATATCATAGAAGAATAGATGAATAGATAAATAGATGGACAGATAAACTTGTACCACTGGGCGTAACTGTATCATTAATAGTGTTTCCTCTTGATATTTAAGCACAAATCAAATATTTACCTTGTAGTGACATATGGATTCATTTACTGTAGCCTGGATATATATTGCGGCACAGAGAAAGTAATTGACATGCCTAAAGTATATGTTTTGAAATATAATTTATAACAGAAATCTGAATGAAGACCTAGATCTTCTGACCTTCCAACTTGTTCTCTTCCAATGTTGTTATGCTTCATCTTTAAACAACTACTCAAACTGTGACCACTTACCCAGTGGTCACAGAGGGAAAACCGCTCTATTTTTTTTTTTTT